TGGGCTGGAACTCTCAGAACCTGTGGGTGATGCTGACAGCATGAAGCTCACCAAGAGCCGTGGAGGAGAGCATGGGGAGGACAACCACGGTAAGTGGGGAGTGGGAGCTGGAAAGGGAGGCCCACCGAGAGTCCTGGAGACGGCTGGTGCGTGGGGAGGGGTCCACAAAAGGTAGGGGGTCTGTTGGAGAATGAGGACACCAGCCTCATCACCTACCCTGTTTGGGAAGCGCTAGAAGATGCCTAGAGTCTGCTCAGTCCATCAGAAAGTGCCTCTGAAGGAAGGAGGGTCATTGTGCCCAGCTGCTCCCTGGCCATGTGTACGGACAGGCGGTCAGGCACACATTGTATACCAGCACTTCAGGCCAAAACAAGTTCTCAGGCACCTTGTAGCTTCTACCACGGCGGATTTGTGGCCCCTGCTGCTTTCTTCTTAACCTCCTCCACATTACTGAAAAATTCATTCATTCAGTCATCATTTCAGTGAATTGTTAGAAGAAGCAGGTGAGAGCCTGCTCTATTAGATGGGGTTCCAGAAACTAGAAATACAGATTCATCAAGACAGCAGAGTGACTTCAGTAGAGAAACAGCACCAACATACAGAATACATGCCCACATATGTCATACCAAACAATGAGCATGCACATGTGTGTTTCATGCCAGTGAGCATGTGTACACATGATCCAAAACAAGACAGTGAATTTGTACAGACGTCTACCACAACAGATAGTGAACTAAACCGGTGGTCGTGCACACCTGCCTACTACATCAAACGGAGCACCCACATGCGTGTCACATCAGACCCTCATTAGTGTTGTACAGAAACTCATTGCAGGGGAGGACATTCTGTGTCTGAAAGGACACAGTCTGGCAGAGGTGCCGGGGAGAGCTGCCTCACGTTACTCATTAGCAAGTAGACTGAGATGTTCAAATAGCTGTAGGCAGAAGACTTGGGTGCAGAAAACAATACATGCAACTTAATGAGGCATGCAAGAGCGTGTTTGAGAAACAGCCAGGAGACCCCTGCAGAACTAGTGGGTGAGGGGAGCAGAGGAAAGAGCGACAGACCCACACCCATGGCCATGAGTCCATTCCTACTCATAGCAACACTGTGTAGGGTTTCCGAGGCGGTAAGTCTTTATGAGAGCAGAAAGCCTCATCTTTCTCCCATTGAACAGCTGGTGGGTTTGAACTTCCAACTTTATCCTCCAGCAACACCAGAGCTCCTGTAGAGATACAGAAATGGGGAAACGTGGGTCTGAAATTGATGCTACAATATTAGCGTTTGTCCTGAGAGGGTGAAACCTCTGGGGATGAGGAGGCTTTGGTTAGACCCTAGATATGATTGGGGATCCACTTGGGGACTCCTTCAGCGCCCAGGTGAGAGGGGAGTGGTGGATAAAGTTGGGAGTTGTCTGCATGAGATGTAATTTGAAACAGAACTTCCTATCGCATTTCAGCTCAAGGATGCCTGGGAGAAGTGAGTCAGGTATGAGCAGGAGGAATGCAGTCTGGCAAAGGACACGTGTGTACTTTATAATTTTTGGAAAACGAGAGAGATACAAGTGAGCAGGAACTAGTGTCCTTTAGTCAGTGGATCAGGGCCAGTCCTGTATTGTCCACACTTGAGTCCCAGATGTGGGTTTCCAGATTGCTGAAGAAGATGC